GTAGAAATAAAAGTAATTCGATGATTATGATGGACACAATCTAACAACTTAATGAATAATAAATAATAAATCGGTTCAAAACCCCTAAAACACTAATTTAAAAATCAGCTTACAAAGATTTATTTTTTTGTTTGTTTGTTTTTTAAGTGAAAGTGAAAGTCATGTCAGGTTCGCCAGAGCAGCAACATGGTAATAATTTTTTATATTTACCAGTTAAATATCGGTATTCAGATGTTCTGTCTTAATGCTCTCCAGGGTAACACATTCAGACGTAAGAACCAGCACATTGTACTGAAAGCAGCATTTGAACAACTTTGCCTGAATGCACAATAGCCCGGCAGACTGGTGATGATGATGGTTGATAGATATAGAAAGACAGATAACAGGATACCCCATTAACTACATTTTCCTCGGCTAGTGTGAGAGCACAAGCTGAGGAGATGAGCAGTAATTTAGGTAATTTTGCTCTACTCGATTCCCTTTTCTTTAATGACAATAATTATCAGTGGATAACATCTGTAGGATGTGGGTGTTGGCCCCCACCCACCTCTTCCACCCCACCAGACACCACCGGCACACTCACACACACTCTCCTTTCTTGTCTGGTTTGTGTCTTTACCGACGTCTCCTTTTAAACCGCCCCTGTGTCTTTGCCTTTTTTCCCATCATCCGCCCCCTCTTGTGATTTCTCTTTTTACCTCACGTTCTTTCTGGCCCTAAGTCAGTGTCTTTTCTACTAAATTAGCACCTCCTCTAGTCTATTTATACACATCTCTCAGTCCTTTATAACTTTGTACTTTAATAATCTCCTCGCAGCTGATGTAAAGCTTCTGAGAAACACGCAAGCTAATGCTTCACTAGCATTTTTTAAAGGAGACAAAACTTACATCAATGAATTCATCTTATTTTCAGTCAGTACCAGACAGACTATTTATTATTGCAACATGCTACAGTGCCATGTGCTGGCAGTCAACTGACATCCAAGTTCGTCTAATGGACACATTTTGTAAGAACCCATTTATGTGATTTTCTGCAATCACTTTCTTAGAAAAGCATCAGAAATGCCAAGCTGGATCTAGTCTGTATGTTGTTATTTAAATGTTATGTTCATACCTGTGAAGATGCCTAAACCAGATATGCAGGTATGAAGCTCCCGAAAGAGCGTTATTGACCCAAACTCGGAACTGAGATAAGTAATTGCATTTGTGTCAAAGTCATTTTTTTCTGCCCTTTCTCCCCTCTTAGCACTGTCTAGTGTTCCTCAATCACATTTGGAGTCAGGGGGCATTTTGCCTTTGCGAAAATTGGCTTGAACTCCTACTCACCCCAGTGGTTTCTCCAGTCGACTGGCTGGCGATCCAACAATCTCGCCAAGAGTACAGAACATCTGACCCAAAAAGTCCTGCAGGGAAGAAAGGAAGGAAGAAAAATAGAAGATGAAAGGGAAAAAAAGAAGGGCGGGATTGTAGACGTGAAACAGAAAGTCTACAGATCAAGTCAGATTAACCTCAGGATGTTCCACCAGATCTCGTACCACTGGATCGTTCATGCAAATTCAAGAATTTGATAAATTCACTGAAGCTTGTTCACTCATGCTCATTCGCAAGGTCAAAGTTAACATTTGGCCGTCCATACACAGTTTACATCAGCAAACTATTTCATTTTTAGTGGGAACATCTTCTGCTAAAAAGGAAAAACAAAACCTTGGAGAAGTGATGAAAGTGATCATCACGAGAAGTACTGTATTTGCTACACTTAAAATACAACTGATACGATGCGTTTCATAAAAGGTGATATTACTGTGATGTGCTAAATGATATGACGTTGTGTTATCATGTCCATTGCTGGTGTGAAGCTGGTTTATAGAACTGAACCCAAGTAATCCAGTACGTATGCATAATTGCATACTGGGTTAATGCAATGGTCAAAATGTTTTCCACTAAAATCAGGTCTATTTCACACATAGGCAACTTAACAGCACCGTGAATTTTTTCCATCCATCCCACCTGTCAACAGACATGAGATAACACCAACCTCTGTGCAATCCTTACGTTTGGAAAAAAAGATAATAATAATAATAAAATGATAAAAGTACAACTTCAACCTAAATGTTAAAACAGTCGTTTTTAATAAGAAATGGCAGCTGGAGCTCAAAATCAAAATCTTAGCAATAGCCGCTGCAACAAATTCAGTTTTATTCAGCTCACTAAATCAACAGTATAACGTGGTTACACAGCAAAAGACAAAACGTTTTTAAAAAAGCACATCTCAACAGATCCAATAAAACTAGCACCAGTACATGGAGAATCCATTGTGTGGTTGTTTCAAAGCCGTGAACTAACCATATTAATTGCTTCTTTGCGATAATTGATTCTACATTTCTCACTTTGTAAGAGCTCATCTGACCAGACCTCTGTCCAACATAGGAAAAACATCAACAGTTCTACAGTTCAGTTTTTGCTGTGATACTGTTTCCACTTCTAACCACAGAGATAAATGGCCTGTAAATGGCCTGTATTTGTATAGCGCTTTTCTAGTCCCTAAGGACCCCAAAGCGCTTTACACAACCAGTCATCCACCCATTCACACACTGGTGATGGCAAGCTACATTGTAGCCACAGCCACCCTGGGGCGCACTGACAGAGGCCAGGCTGCCGGACACTGGCGCCACCGGGCCCTCTGACCACCACCAGTAGGCAACGGGTGAAGTGTCTTGCCCAAGGACACAACGACGAGACTGTCCGAGCCGGGCTCGAACTGGCAACCTTCCAATTACAAGGCGAACTCCCAACTCTTGAGTCACGATCGCCCCAGATAACGTCAGGGTTTCAACCATATTTTCTGGGTAACCACATAACCAAAATCTTAATACAAATTGTAAAACAAAGGGGAAGACTCGATGGATAATAATAATAATCTGAGCTGAAGGAGAACACTATTAAAAGAGCCTACCTGTACTTTGAGTCCCTCAACTTCAAAACAAAGTAGAGACATATTTCAAAGTATTTGAATTTAACCAGTCATCAGAAATTATTGTAACCCACTCAGAATATGCTCCAACCAACCTGATGGAAACCACTCATTTAATGAACCGTGAGGTATTACACATGATGGGATAAGAAGGAGGCATTCAGTGACCCGTGTGTAATGGCCAGAAACATGATTGAACACAGTTATGACTCTAGCTCATCATGTCTGTGGACGAAGTCTCTCAGTGTCAGCCGGCACTGATCTACTTCATCAGACTCCCAAGTTTTTCTGCAAAGAATCTCATTGTGTATTTTTCAGCATAGTCTTTCCTGAACTTATCAGAGGCAGGATGTGGGGCAAAAGTCCTTAATATTGACCTCGACAGACTGGGATCGTTAAATAATTTATTGGGCTATAGAGTGATTGATTTCAATGAGTCTCTAGGTTTTTTTTAAGCCAATTAATTCCACTCAATGCAGCCCATAAGAGCCTGGAAACCTGATCATCTCGATGGCGTTGAATAAAACATTCTAAAGGCACAAAAACTACATACTTCCACTGAAATTACTGTGGCCAGTAACAAGAGCTGTGCAAATGGCTTGACTTGGCTCTCAGTTGTTTTTATTGTGATCAGTGGCGCCTTCTTTTCTCCTGAGAGACGGCTCATTCATGTGAAAAAGCAGCCATGCAGTGTTAGAAGTGAGAGAGATGTTGGGACCTACGTTGAGTTCTGCGGGCTTCCAGAAAAGTTGGGCGGCAGCAGCAACAACAACAACAACAACAATAACAACAGAGCACATCATATACCAGCACGCAACACCATATCAAATAGCTAGCACTCCTGGCACTGTTCAAAGTGGGGAAGTGGGACCCAAAAGACGACAACATGCTGTGCCACAAAAGTAAAATCCAAACCCCAACAGAGGAACAGTTAAAGCAAGTGATGGAAAAACGCAAACCTCACTTATCCAAATACACCAAATAATCACCCGCGCTGATTATTTTGACATTTTCAATGCTTTTCTGTCACCATAGTTTCCGGTCATGAGTAAAAAAAATGTGTTTTTTCCCCCCAGAAATGATTAAGAACAAAAATAATGTAATGCATCGCTTTAAATGGAAACTAATGGTTAAAAGCATTACGTAATCCTTTTTTCTACATGAACGTATATTATGGTGTTACATACTATCCATTACTACAGTGCCAGTAAAACCAATAAAAAAAGACGATGAAAGAACCAGTTGCTGATCAAGTAGACATTTAAACTGTACATTTACATACGAAATATAAGTACAGTATATGACTGCATATCTAAAAACAATAGCACTGTGAATAAAAGAGAACAAATAAAAACTCTGTATTTGGATACTTATGTGATCAGGCAATAGATGGGGTTTGCTTTATTCCACCCTGAAAACATGCAGCAGGCAACAAACTAATTAAAACAAGCAGCATTAGACCACTGATAAAAGGAATTTTTACTATCTTCCATTTTGTCAAACACCATATTTAAATGTTTACATGGAGGAATTTTCTCCACAGCAATTCAAGCCAATAATTCAGATTTTACCCAAGACTGATCTCCATTTATCTGTGGTTCAAGGTTTAAAATAGCTGTGAGTACTCACGTGTTTGGACAGGTCGGGGCTTTTGGAGTCAACATCATACCTGAAAGGAAGCAAAATGAAAACAAAAGCCTTACTTTATACATTTGACCGATGTGACATTGCAGGAAGGTTTTCGAACGAAAATCTTTGTATCTTTTTGTTTATCAAGTTGAAGAAACGGAAGGAAGCAGGAGATAGTCATTATAATTGGTGCAGTGCATGAATTACAAAGAAATAAAGCACAGGGAAAGAGCTAAAAGAAAACGATATAAGGTGACACTTAAATGTGCTGCACTGAAAACTGCAGCGTTTAGTGAGGTGAGCAGAGGTGGGTAGTAACGAGTTACATTTACTCCGTTACATTTACTTGAGTACGTTTTTGAAAAAAATGTACTTTTAAGTACCTTTTTTGCACAATACTTTTTACTTTTACTTGAGTACATTTGTGAAGAAGAAACGGTACTTTTACTCCGCTACATTTGCAAAATTCAACTCGTTACTTTTTAAAAAATAATTAGTTTAACACATTAGATAACATGCCGCCAGTGGAGTTTCCGGTAACTTTTTTACCAATGAGATGTGGCCATGCAGTCACATGACCAGTTTGAAACTGTGGCGGGCAGTGCAGCCCAAACGTTTCAAAGTAGCGGACACACAAAAGAAGAAACATGAAAACATAGCGGAGCCGTCTACGCTAGAGCTGAAGAGGATGAACACCCTTGGCCTCATATACAAAGAACGTTTTGCTTAAAAGCAGTACAAAAGAACAGCTATGTCTTCAGTGTCGGTGTCTTCAGTGAGAGCCAAAACAAACTAACTTTTCAGCGTGAAAAAACTCAGCTCGTGTAACCTGAGGAAACGGTAAGTTTTCTCTAAATATCTTTTTAGCTGTGGTTAGCTGGATGTCAGCCTTATGTTACAGCAGCTGTGTGGAGCTCGAGCTGCGAGTCATATTTTCGGCGCTACGTTGTAGTGAGACAAATTTGTGGGTGTTTCGTGCAGCTTCAGCTGTCTTTTTAACTGCTCGCTGGTTAGCTAGCGTGAGCTATAAGCTAAAAGCTAGCCTCGTTAATGACGCTGGAGTTCAACGCACATGCAAACAGCTCGTCTCTACTGCTATAACTGTTAAAACAGAAGGCAATACTGCGGCTGGCAGAATTTATTATGTGAAACAACAGCTTGTTTAGTTTAAACACTCTGCATTAAGCTGGGCAAACACTGTGCGATTTTTTTTCCAGTCGCGTTATTCAGCTCCTGCTCAAACTGTACAATTGAATCGCAGGGGTTAGAAGTTCATAGGTCACGATGCAGGGTCTCACACTATACGGCCTGATGCTCTGATGCGACCTGAGTGCTCAAACTGTGCGTCCATAACATGAAGCTTATCATACAAAATCTGTCTCTCGCTCTCCCTCTCTCTGTCTTTCACTCACTCACACACCACCACCATCAACTTTGCTAAATTACTAATGGAAAACATTGACCAGACAGCTGTAATTGAGCAGCAATGTCCATCCAACTCTTTTCATGGTTGTTGTAGTCGTCACAATTTTGTGAGGCCACACTGAAAAGCCTCGGATACGGTAGCGTCGTACGGAAGCGTAGAGCTGCCACCCAGCCAAAAGAAAAATAGAAAAGTATATTGTTAGAACAATATACTATCATGTTAGTACAATATACCTTTCACGTTTGAACAATATAATATCACGTTCGTACAATATAAATATTATATAGGCCACATCGCAGCTCCCGTCACGGCTTCCATCAATGTCTTTCTCGTCTTTTCCCAGAGTAACAGCCAAACAGGAGGATCTATTGGCTAGCACTGCTTAGCCTTGCACACATTCTTATTTTAAACTTAATCTGGAATTCATTGCAAACTGTTTGTGCGGGATATGAATGACAGGATTTTGTTTTTCTACAAGAGTTAGTAAAAAACATCTCCAGTGTGATCAAATCTTCTTGCCAAACATCTGCAGCTTGGCAGTGTATACAGCACTATAATGACCAGACCCAATTCTTTTGAAAACCATACACCTTTCACAGGTCTCAACTTCATCAGACATCACCTCGACACAGAGCTGGATGAGGCCAGCGCAAACAGCAGCCTAACCGACTAAGATGATGGATCCATGGGGTCAGGAAAGCCAGAAGCAGGGCTGGAGAGGTACCTTTCATGTCCATTCACTGGAGGTGTGGCTCTATTGCATGGCGTTCCTAACATCAAGAAGCTGTCGATCAAAATCAATACAGCTCTTCCTGCATCTGGAGCTTGTGAAGGACTTCTCAGTCATGCAGGACTCCTGTTCACTGCTAAACAGTGACAGCTTCACAGCAAGAACCTTGAGAGCAAACTGCTGCTGAAGCTTAATCATCACCTCACTAAGTGAAGAAATGGCACATTTTTGCTAAATATGCAGAAATAGATGCACACCCATACAACTTATGGTAAACTGAGCTGCCTTGTATGTACATATGATGAAGATACCTCGTTCTAATGTTTTCTCTGAGGCTGCTGTGCCATTTGGAGCAAAAATGAATATAAAGTTTACAGCATATCTTGTCACTGGAAATTGTTTGCACTGTTTATATATTTATATTATTTACTGTAGGTATTGGTGAAAAAAGCTTTATGTTGTGAAAAACTGAAATCTGGAAAAAAAAATTATTGATCTTTTTACATATATTCCTTTTGAAAATACTAAAATTTGTATATTTATTTATTTTTGTTTGTCTGATAGCATTTATTTATAAAATAAATCGGACATTTCAAACAGTTATTCGCTACTTGAGTAGTCTTTTCACCAAGTACTTTTTTACTCTTACTTGAGTAACATTTTTGAAGACTACTTTTCACTTTTACTTGAGTAATAATATTTTAAAGTAATGCTACTCTTACTTGAGTACAATTTTTGGATACTCGACCCACCTCTGGAGGTGACTGAGCATCAAGAGAGAAGAAAAACAAAGTTATGTGTGAAATCAGAATGAGGAGAGATGAAAAGAACCGAGATCTTAGTGTCATTTCAGATGTTGTTATTTGTTGTGCTGAGTAATTGGAAAGGGGTTTGACTACAGACAATAGGACCTGAGTGGTGGACCTGATCTGATTTGCATGTGAATATAAAGCAATAAAAGGGATAAGGGACATATGTGATGTCCCAGGATTAAACGTGTGATGAAACAATGGATCCCGTTTGCCTGGAGATCAAATCAAATACAATTACTGAGTAATATGTTGAATAAACAGCACGCAAGACTTTCTCTTGGTGAGCTGCACTGTCTGACAGCATAGGGTGGGACAGATTTAGAGCGTCACGCTGCTCAAAGAGATTTGACAGATTTGTTGTTTCAAATTTAAATCAATTTAAACCATAAAAGAGTTAAACAAACTGCATTAAAACCTGAGGAGGCACTCCTGGTGTCCAAATTACAAAAAGCATCTTTTTGGAATCTGACCCATCCAAAAACTTTAAGGTTAAAAGCAGATGTGATAATATTACCAAAGAAATCCATTATATTATCGTGTTCTTACATAGTTGTTTTGTTTTGTTTTTTTAATACATGTTTTGGGGGCTTATTAAGCAGATCAGATTCAGAAACACTTGTAAGATTAGATTTGTGTTCATATTTAGGCTGGATCTCTCTTGTGGAAAAAATAACATTAACAGTTGCTTCTTCCAAACAACTGCTCTCAATTAACATGTGCTTATACCAAAATATGATCACTTTATCTTTATTAACAGTCTGCAGATGTTTAAGATTGCTGTCAAATCTCTAATTGAAAGATCCTTGATTAAGGGCGTTTTGGCCAATTACTGCCAAATATCCATTACACCTTTATTTATGATTATTTTTACTCATTTTATTCATTATTTGTATTAGATTAGCATGCAATAATGGTTCCATTTTTAGGAGTTTCATTCAGCATTCAGAGAGCATGATAACTCAGAGACAAGCATGGGTAAAAAGCATCAACCATCTTCTCATATCCTCACACAATGGACTCCTCTCTATAGCTATCACGCTGGATCTCGGTGTTGCATTTGACACCACTGATCATATCGCGCTTTGACTCAAAAGACGAGCACTGTGCTGGTCATATTTATCAGATGTTGAAAGTCTTCCAAAAGTCATATAAGAGGTTCAATATCGTGTGCTGGTTGACAATGCATATATTTCTATTGGCAATTGGTGATCTCAATCTCTGTTTTGGGCCCTAAAAACATGGCATTAACTTGGCCTCTAGCACTGCTGATTCCACTGAGTCATTTTTGACTAGAATATCTCCTTTAACTCATGCATTTAAAGTCATCTGTAGCGATACAGATGAGCCGTCCAGCATTATTAACATTACAAACATGCCTTCTTAGAATGATGCTGAAAACAATCCCATTCATTAGTTACTTCTGGGGCCAGCAGTTGTAATTCTTTATTATCAGGATATAGCTCCCGGAAAGCTTCTACAATATGTTGCTCTGAAGATATTAAGTAGCAAGAGAGATCCCATTTCTATATTGCTATAGGCTCAGGCTGCTGCTGGACCTCCCATCAAGCACGGAGCACGTCTCTTATCTCATTTCTTCCTCTATGCATTCATGTAGCCTTGTTCGTGTCATAAATTGTGTTTCTTTCCTCTTCATTAAGTTGTGCATTTTCCTCTCTGGCCTTTCTCTCTCTGAAAGTCTTGCAAACATCTCCAGGTCCGCATGATCCTGATCTGAAGGTGCTTTTCTTTTCTTTCTTTGCTTCCCCCTCACCCCAGTAGGTCTAGACAGACATCATCTATAGCAGGTTCCTTCCTGGGGTTTTTTCTCACCACAGTCAGGGTGCTTCTCAAAGAGAATTGCTGCTTTTGTCTTGTTTTTTTGAATTGTAAGGCTTACCTTATGATGTATATGAAAAATGCTGAGATTTACATTTGTTATGCACTGGTGTAAATAAATGCAGTTATCTAAATAAAACTAAAGACATGCCATTTCATTGCAATGTTTAGATCCCCTCCATATTTTGGCATGGTCAGTCTTGTTGTGCATAGTTAGGGTTGTTGTATTTTCTGGTCAGTTATGGCAGATGGTCAGTTTCTTAACTTAACTGAACGGTGTAGGCAGATGGTGCAGAAAAGGAAGTGAAATAATGAAAACTAAACATCACTCACAAGTCAAAGCGAAGGTTCTGCTTCTCCTCAAAAAAGTAGTCCAAGATGTACTTTCTAACAAAGTCGGGGTTTAGAGTGTTGTCTATCACCTCTGTTCTGCCAAACTGTAGGAGGAGAAAGACAGATGGAGGTCAGCAGAAGAGAATGATGAAAGAACAAGCAAGACATTGAAACACAGTTTTAAAAACAAATACAGTTAGTGTGTGCTTGCCCTTTTCATCTCTTTCCTGGGCTTATTACATAAGTGTATGCACACAGTCACAGAGGCCTGATTAATGGAGGTGCTTTCACATGGTTCTGCTGTGCAAATGAAATCAAGGGTGGGTTTCCCGGATGCTTGATCTTCACCCCTCTCCTGTATTAATTACAGCAGGTTAGCGCATACATCAACCTCGCGGAAGGAAAAGGAAAATGTAAGACTCCCTGTGTGGACAGGGAAAAGTTATGGGTAGACTTGGAGGGGAAAAGGGGAAAGGGATAAAAAACTGCTGGAGGGAAGGAAATGGGGACACTGTTTGAGTCAGAGCTTTGGATTGAAAACAGTCAGAAGGGTAAAAATGAGAAAAGAGTGAGGAGGAGGAAAGCAGTCATTAGGGCTTCCTACATTTTCTCACTCCTAAATTACAAATGCAGGGAAATATGCCAGAGAACAATTGACAAAGGCCCAGAAACTCCAAGTATATGCACAATCACTGGCCACTGTATTAGGTACACTTTACAAGTAATGGTTTGGACCCACTATAGCAGTCAGAACGGTCTTAATGCTTCACTTCAGCAAAGTGCTGGAAACATTCCCCACATATTTTGGTCCATATTAACATGATAGCATCACACAGTTGCTGCAGATTTGTCAGCTGCACATCCCTGATGTGAATCTCTCATTCCACCACACCCCAAAGGTGCTCTGCTGAACTGAGATCTGGTGAATGTGAGTACAGTGAAGTCATTGGCATGTTCAAGAAACCAGTTTAAGATGATTTGAGTTATTCTGATGGAAGCAGCCACTGGACGATGGACAGACTGTAGTCATAAAGGGATGGATGTGCCATTAAATGGTGCCTTATTTGGTACTAATGGGTCCAAAGTGAACCAGGAAAATATCCCCTACACCATTACACCAGCAGCAGCCTGAACTGTTGAAGCAAGGGAGGATGGGTCCATGCTTTGAAGTTGTTTATACCAAATTCTAACCCCAGTCTTATATTGCCCCATTTAGGTAGCCTCAGTATGCTGTTCTGTCCTGTGTAACAGACATGGTACCAACCACGGTCTTCTGCTGCTGTACCCCATCTGTTTAAAGGTTCGACGTGTTGTGCATTCAAAGACATCCTCCTGGTTGTGGTTATTTTAGTTGCGACTGCCTTCCTGTTTGGCCATTCTCCCCTGACCACTGAGATCAACACTGGATATTCACCCCGAGGACAGCCTCTCAGTGGATATTTAAAAATCTTTTTGGTCACCATTCTCTGTAAACCCTACAAATGGCCATGCGGGAAAATCCCAGTAGATCAACAGTTTGATAAATACTCAAATCAGCCCACCTGACACCAACAAACATGCCACATTCAAAGTTACTTCAGTCACATTTCTTCTCAGTTCTGATGCTCAAGTTGAACCTCGGAAAATCATCCTGTCTATATCTACATGCCTAAATGCATGGAGTTGCTCCCATGTGATTGCCTGATTAAAGAGTGTGCATCAGTTAAAACCTCCACAGATTTATATTTAATAAAATAAAAATAAATAGTGAAGCCTTAAAGCACACATTGCCTCATTCGTGACTTTATACTAAGTCTGAGCCCTCTGGTGTTTGAACAAACATAAAAACAGTGGAGTCAGATGAGAGCAGTTAACACAAGAATGAAATTACCTCAAAATGGATTCAAGAAAACACACACACTGGAGATTGCACCACATTTCCTGTGTATACTGAGTCTACTCTGTACATGGCTGCATGTTTTTGATGTCACATTTAATGGTTTTCTGCCAGCACAGCTATAAACTGTTTGCGGTTTGAACATCTCAGCTTAGTCATAGTTATTTGCTGGTAATATCACCAGAACTTCACAAGATAAATCACATCTTACTTCTACATTTCTAAATTTGAACCATGTGAGCATGCTCTGGGCCTGTAGGGGACAGCTGCTCTTGTTATAGTTTAGAAAAAGACATTATTGCTACATCTATTAAAGCCACGCCTCCTGTGATAGGTTTAATATTCATTTCATTCTTATATCACAACAAGGAACAGCATTAATTGATTTGTAATGAGCGGCATTAATCATATTTTTTCTTAATTGATTTCCTTAATCAAATCCATCTTCATTCCTTCATGCCTAATATTACAATGATGCACAGATGTCAGAGGCAAGAATTCTTTCTTTTGTTAGAAAGATGAAAATTCAACCTGTGCTCAATAATGACATCGGGTCAGATGCGAATCGTATATAGACAAACTGTTTCCACAGACTACAACAGGTCTGCCTGTGAAATAGACACCATGAGGCAGAGGGCAAACGTGCTGTGTTGGTGTCATCAGCATCATAGCAGTCGAGAGGTGTTTGACCTTTAATGTGTAGGTAATGTTATGAAAACCAAACCATGAAATTTAAGTGAAGAGAAGAATGTGTGGTTCCAGACATGGTTCAAAAACTTCTTTCCATCTAGAGTTTGTATAACACCACACTGACCTTCTAATGCAGATTTTTTTGCATTAGTTGAAAATGTCAGTAAAGCATTACCAAGTGCATCAAAATGTGACAAGGAGCAAGCGTCAGTATGTGATGAGTTCAGTAAGAATATGTTGTAATATGTGCAAACTGTAGTATTTTTAGTGCAATAATGTTTATTTGTATGGGAATAAGCATGCAACTTCAACGAGTTCCACACAACATTCATAGCTTAAAGCAAATCTGCAACGGCCTTTTCAGAGTCACTCTTGTTTTCCACAGTCTCATAACTCACCAGCAAGTCTGTCGAACTCTTCATAGAGGTAAACAGAACCTGTTTGCAAAGATTAATCTTCCCATAACATGGAATGCAGCTTTTGTGAGCGAGTGTGAGTAAACGATGACTTTGCACCGATAGAAAACTTCACTCTTCTGTGATATTGCACCACTGTCTCTTTCTAAAAATAGGAGAGCAGGACTACTGATATTGAATCTGTGTTCTGCCCTGAGTTTTTTTCCGAAGCACCCGGAGCTGTTGATGAGGTTGTGAGCACATGTTAGTAAAGAGGCGGGAGATTGCAAAAATGAGCACCATACGTGATTTCCCAGCTGAGTGGAAGAGACAATAGCGTGCTGCAGAGTTCATTAGATACTGCTGGGCTGCTGGAGCTGGCTAATGAGAATCTGGCAGGAAGTCCCTGACCTGCACCCTCGACATTTATACACATAGACGCAAGGCAGCTGGCACGCATATACTTATGGCATCTGAACTCTTCGGTCCGCTGATGTAGAGACCAATAGTGTCTCATGTTGAAAATGTGACCATGTCCCTAAGTCTCATTGCAAGTGCTCATGGTGTTAAATTAAGAAATGAGCAAAGGAGAACAGTAATAAAACATGTATAATCCATTATTATCTTTTTGGCTTTTCTATCCCAAATATGGCCAAGAGTTAATTATGCTGACCATCATACTTTGCATAAACAACCTTTTTTTCTTTTAACACACACAAATTGTCAGTGCAGACTTTTGCCATCTGAATGTGCTGTAGTTCTTTTTCTGTTCTTTGTGGCTCAGCAGACAGCAACACAGAGCTCATATAATGAGCATGTTGGAGTCAGTAGTGTGAATTAGTGTGAGATAGCTTTCTGTCTGTTTTGGCCTTCAGTGAAAAGCATTGGGGTGAGTTTAAAAAAGAAATCCCCAAGACAAAGAAAAGACACAGAAACACGAAGAATACTGAGCAGCTCCCCAGGACTGATAGAGAGTTTAGGGAGGAAGAGTAAAACAAGCAGCTGAAAACCATTTCTTCCACGATAAGTGCTGCATGGCTTCATGGGAAAACAACTCCCAAGGTTTGTTAGAGCTTCGAGCCACAGCTGTGATTGTGCGAAGTCTGGGTATATGTGTGCACATCAAACAAATTCTAAAACTCATACACGCAGAAACAGGCATGTGCACCAACACACAAACGCACACTCATTCACATAGCAGGTAGTAGCAGATAATGTCAGACGGTGGGAAAAAATAATAGAAATCATCAACCGTGTCAATCTCCATTAGCTGTTCTCTGTCTGGCTCACAGCATACAGTAATCACTCGGCAACTTTGCACCTCCATTGCTATGTTTTACTTGTTTATATATCCAACAGTCCTTCATTGTATGTATGTACTACATATAAGGTGCAACCATTCAGTTCAGCGACTCCACCTGTGAAAATGGATAAAAAATACAATTTAAATTTGGTCTATTTTCCCCTCATGTTTTCTCCCTTGCAGTGCAGCTCTCTGAGCAACGTTTGGTCCACAGGAAAATCAGAATGAGCCTTTCAGGGAGTGATCTGAACGCAGTAAGTGGGCCAAAAGTAAACAAGAAGACAACCTGGAAGTTGAACTCGACCAGATTTAAGTAGGTTTTTTGTTTAGTTTTTTTTTATTGGAGAGAGTTCCTTATCGTTAGGACTACGCCTTATATTCATCTAATGAACCTAAAAATAAGTTGATGTAATTAAGTGTTAACATTACAGGCAGCCGGATCAGGTCAGGGACGAGACCCTGCCCCAAGTGGAGGAGTTTAAGTATCTTGGGGTCTTGTTCACGAGTGATGGCAGAAGGGAGCGGGAGATCGACAGACGGATTGGTGCAGCGGCTGCAGTGATGCGGATGTTGTACCGGTCTGTTGTGGTGAAGAGAGTAGAGCCGGTGCTCCTCCACATCGAAAGGAGCCAGCTGAGGTGGTTCGGGCATCTGACAAGGATGCCCCCTGGACGCCTCCTGGGCGAGGTTTCCCGGGCATGTCTCACCGGGAGGAGGCCCCGGGGCAGACCCAAGACACGCTGGAGAGATTATATCTCTCGGCTGGCCTGGGAACGTCTTGGTGTTCCCCTGGATAAGCTGGAGGAGGTGGCTGGGGAGAGGGAGGTCTGGGCTTCTCTGCTTGGGCTGCTGCCCCTGCGACCCCGGATAAGCGGAAGAAAATGGATGGATGGTTGGATTACATTTAATAGGTCTTGTCTTGTGTTATATTGTAAGGAGAAGCAAATGGTTCACAAATATCCTTAATGTGACTGTGTTTGTATGGACATACTGTGGAAACTCAGTGAAGCTAGAGCTGAGACTTTTTGCAGCTGTGATTTTCTAGTATACGGTCTAATTACCCGAGGTACACTTACACAACGATTCCAGGAAGAAGTGTATTTCTAAGAGTGCTCTCAATTTGGGCTGTATTAGTCAGTAATACCTCAAATTGTTCGACAGTATTTGTGCCTGGTAAACATCTCCTATGACCTTTTCAGACTTGGTTTTGGATACTAGAGTCCATATTCAGGTTTATTTTCTCCATTGTTTTGGATGGGGAGTCATTATTGAAGGTCACTTAGTTGTTTTTAAAACAATAACCACTGGAGCAATAAAAAGCACTGAATCATCTTGAGCATAAAATCAACCTAAAAGTATCCTACAACTAAATCCAGAGCACTTTAATGTACTGTAGAGGATAATGAGTGCACAACGAAGAGAATCAAGTCCACACATAACTTATCTATTCACTAGTCTGTTGTATAAAGTGATGTGCATACTCTTCATCAAGAATGACCTGTATTAGCATGGCAGGCATAATGCAGTGTGCACCAAATACCGGAGGAGATGGAAATAATCGTCAAACGTGGCCCCACCGGTGTGCTAGAGGGCCCTGTCAGAAAGCATTATTTAGCAGTCCCTGGTGAGTCACCTGTTTTAGCTTTGCTTGTTCAATCGGAGGCGCTCAGTGTCGCTCACACAGCATCACCTGGAGCCGCTCCAACACATACAACTGAACAATATGACTGTGGATGCGATGGTTCATGTCCGCAAGGAGAGGGCTGATTTAAATGTTTCCTGGTGAACAGCAGAAGATGGAGTGCAATCTGAAGTGAAAATAAACTGAAGTGAAATGCTCATTATATTAATTACATTTTGTGTATTTGATTGGATTAGAAGGCATTCAAACTGAAAAAACAAAGAAGTGGATGGCAAAGGGACCTTTACTGTGCATATGCAAATGCATATGCGCTTAGGATTTACACATATGCATACACATTTTCACACCCAAAGAGCAGGGCTGTCAGCAATAATTCAGCTACCTTTGAATTAATCCCACACAGCCATCTGTTGGGAGTGAGTAAACATAAGAGCAGCAGATGAGTGTATAAATAAAACAGCCATATACCATATAAATAAACAAATTACATTAAATTATCATGTATTGAAAATATCTGTGCCCATTTGGACAATGAGCAGTGTTTGATGAGGAATCAATCAAACTATGCACGTCCAGCCTTGGAGGGGATGCAAGTGAAATCACAGCTGTGGCACTGGGAACATAGCTGTAAATTAATATCATGCTATACTCATCACGTTACAGTTCCATTTTTAATGACTTTCTTTTTTCATTGCTGTCTTGGTTGATAGTTTTTAATATTTTTGTTGCCTGTTTGTATTACAGAACATTAAAATCGACTATCTAGTGCAGGAGTGGGCAATTCCAGGCCTCAAGGGCCGGTGTCCTGCAGGTTTTAGATCTCACCTTGGGTCAACACACCTGAATCACATGATTAGTTCGTTACCAGGCCTCTGGAGAACTGCAGGAGCTAATTTAGCCATTTAGATCAGCTGTGTTGGTTCAAGGACACATCTAAAACCTGCAGGATGCCCTCGAGGCCTGGAGTTGCCCACCCCTGATCTAGTGTCAAACTCTATTTATCTTCGCAAGGTTTGGACCAGACGTTCTCTAACAGGAATAGTTTTTAAAGCAAAACTCACTTTTGATTTATGATTTTTTGATCTAATGACTTTAATTTATTGTAAGCCAAACATGTATTCTCACTTACAGCATATTTGCTGTGTTTTTACACTAAAGCATTGCGCTAGCAATGCTTTAGTGTAAAAACACTATAATTTTCAGATATGTGCATACACAGTACAGTGTATTGCATTACGAATTTATTAGACCAGCCCAGACCAGCATCCGATGTAAGGTTTATGGCACAGCTGCTCCAAATTAAAACTTTTTTATGTTTCTGCAATGGTTTATCCATCAGCATGCACGAGCTCTTTAATCAAAATGTATTTTTTCTTATGCTAAATTACAATTACTGTTGTTATCTATAAATGTACATTACAAAAAATAAGAATTATGGGGGGGCCCTCTTTTTCTTGAATAATCTATAAGAGAATCTGAAATTGTTATTGCAGTTGTTACCTGGTTATGAAGGGTGAGTGTAGGTCTGATTTAAAGGATTGAGGAGAGATTCTCTTGTTCAGTGTGACTGCTTCTGAAGTTCATGTCCAGTGTCATCTGTATTTATTTCTTTACTTGTGCTTATAGTTGTTGCAATTTCTGCTGCCCCTTCAGCCAGATATCTCTTGGAAAAATAGAGTTTCAATCACAATGACACTCTTTAACTTGACAAATAAAAGATATTTATATACAAAAATATTTACCGTGCCCGTGACAAATTTATTACAGGCTTAGTTCATAAACAGTATACTGTATATATTTTAATTTGGTCTTGCAGTCAGCATTTATTGCAATAGGACAAAAATTCTATTAAAATAAACTACAATGGCCACGTTCGATTTAATCGAAAGCAGCAGCTTGGCCCATTTCTGTTAATAGTTTTTGGATACAAATGGAGGTCTGTGAAACATCAACGGGCCACATACACATGCACTTGTATCTACTTAAAACTGTTCATCTTAACAACAGGAAAGATGCTGAATATTGTCAACTACATCCTTTTGAGTTAAATTGCTATTATTATTATTATTATTATTATCATCATTATCCCTCATTATGTGCCACATTTGGGAATTTCTTCCATAATAAACATTCTGATGTCAGCTGCTTATCAGTATTTGCAAAGACATAAAGGTAAAGAGTTTGGCTTCAATACTTTATTTAACACTTTACTTCACATATTTATTTTGTATCATTACGTGTTTTGCTAATTCCACCTGCAATCCAAATAATTAGGTTTCATTAACTGGACAAACAGACAGAAGGGTGAGATGACAAGTAGAGAGCTAATGGTAATGCCGCATAAACCAAACAAGCCTCACTAAGATGTGGATTAACGAATCTGCAGCGTGCTGTTTAGTCCCCAAAATGTCAGCATATTGATCATTATGGTGTGAGGGTTTTTGTTGTTGGTTGAAGTCTCCAATTAGGGAATATTTCCTTGGCATTTTAAGACGACTGATGCTTGAACAAGTTTAATGAATTGTCAAAAAACACTCACAGAGAAAAAGGGGGAAAGAAAACCATGAGCTGAATGTCTTAACTGGAGTGCCACCACTCCACCCCTGTGCACACAGAGAGCAAGGCCAGAACTTAATTGAACGCGCTGTAAGTTCTTTCTTTTTTGATTTGTGTGTGCATGTTCGTGTGTACACTCACCTCTCTCCACTGTTTGGTTTCAACACCTTGTGTATAGAGCACGCACACTGTGAAAAAGTGCCAGGGAGGGACATAAAAAGAGGAAATTTGGTGAAAGAAAGAGAAAACAAGAACCAGGGGGGGAGAGAGAGAGGAAGAAAAGAGAGTGAGAATTAGAAAAATGGAGGCAAATTCCAAATGGGAAATCAATGTGAGGGTTTTAGCTCCAGTGCAGTGAACAAACAGCCACAGCACACTGAGGGGGAAAAAAAAAAGATTTCCCAAACTACAAGGCAACATATCGATAAAAAACACACAGAGGAGAAGTAGAGAACGACCACAACCAGAAGCAGGCGTAGAAAAATAATAAAGTACCATAAATAGGAGAAGTCTTTACAAAATACTCACTTGGATCTGACTTTGAGAATGTGTCTTTATCCAGCAGATTTCTGGAAAAGGAAGAGAAGAAAAAAGCAACAACTGTTACTCATGCTGACAGCATGACATGAGTCACTTATACTCAGCTGTGTTCTAATATTTATGTGCACATACGGTATATTCTTGTCATGTTTAAGATGATACAATTTTTTTAACCAGAAGCCCACTTGAGAAGTGCAGAGCCTTATCTGACAATTTTACAGAAAGTGATCTGATCTGCTGATTCAGATCACTGTGAGTTTTGTGCGCTCTTCATTTTGTGCCTTGGTTTTCTGGTTTTCCCTTTTTTCCTTTCTTCGGGTATCTAGTTTGAGCTTTTGTCACATTTTAGTCTCTGGGGACTTTTTTTGTTGCATCACATTTCATCTGTCTCTCTCAGCCTCCACTCGTCCCCCTCTGACTGCAGATTCACATCAAACATGCAAAACTCCTCTCTGATGAGAGACTATCAAGAATTTCCTCTCATCGTCGCCATTTTTCACCACCACTCCCGGCATCAAAGCCATGATACCTTGCAAATAATTAGATATCAAATTAGATGCAAGCCAGCATTAACACAAGAAGGAAAACAATAAGCCACCCCATATTTAACATCAATGTTTCATAGTGGCGTCTGTTCTCATGTCAGCTCTGTTCATTCATTCAAGTCAAAACGTTGGATTCTTTAAGGGGATAAACCCCAGGTCCTAGTAATGTAGATTTTTAGCATGTTTTGAGATCAGATTTAGGGTAAATGGCATTAACATTGTCACCGTTATAGGGCAGTCAAAGTGGTAGAAAACACTGAAAGATGGGTGTTGTGAGGTACAT